GTGATCGGTGCCACGGCCGTGGAGAACGTGCAGGCGGGTGTAACCACCTCGTCTCCTTTCTCTAGGCCGAGGGTCGCCAGCGCGATCATGTTGCCAGAGCTCCCAGAATTGACCATGACCCCGTGCTTCTTCCCAAAAATCTCGGCCACTTTGCCCTCGAACTCCTCCGTGCGAGGCCCTGGCGCGAGCCACCCGTCGCGCAGGCAGGCGACGACCTCCTGGATCTCCTCTTCGCCGTACGCCTCGAACTTGTAAGGTGCGTACCACACCTTCTTCCTGGGCGCTCCAGCGGCTCCCGCGGGCCGCAGCTGCTGCTGCGGCTCCGGTTGCGCACCCGGGGCCACGACGTGGCGCGCGAGGGCGCTCAGGCGCTGCATGCTGGGCGAGCAGGGCGCGCGGAGACGGGCGGACGCTTCTGGTCGGGGGATTTGGCGGTAGGTGGAAGGGTCGGGCCGGCTTCAGGGCAACCTAAAAACGTCTTTGGGTCGGACGAGAGAATGTGTCCGACGATGGCGAGTGTGCTTGAAGTCTCGTGGTCTGGACGCACTTCTGTGCATCGCAGGCGCAACTGCCATCTGAGGGACGGATCCGTATCCGTGAACGCGGTCCCCACAGCAAGACATGCCCGCAACCACGAGACGGTCCCTGTTCGGTCACCCCTTACAAAAGTGATCCATCCCCCAGAGACTCCTTGCACATCGTATCCATAAGCTGCCGAAGAAATTGGAAGGGATCTTTGCCAATTGAGCGTTGCCAATGATCGGGAGACAATCGATTTGAACTTGTTGGGATTCCCAATGGGTTTAACCTTGGTCTGGAAGCGGAAACGCAAGGTGCCGCCCTCACTTAAGACACCTTGAAACATGCCATGCTGCTAGGCGAACCTCGCTAAATGGCATGCCTCGCTGATCCTCGCCGAAATCTGGTATGACGGTATCTGCTTGTCCTAACCAAAACTTGAAACTATGGGATGCCACGACATGACAAACGGAAGCAATCGAGGCCCTTCAGCCCTGTGGGCGGACGTCTCGAATCCGCCTGCCCAGAGGGCTGCGGAGCGCGTGGAATCTCATTAACAAAACCTTACACGTGACTTTCTCTGGCTTCCCTCCCCTCCAGCCAGCTTCCCGCGTTTCGTCGCTGGGGCCCACGCCTGTGCTGGTTATCCGCATTCCATGTCCTTCTTCGCTTCAAGAAACCATTGATTCTCATACACATTCGTAATCGTTATGTGAATCGATGTTGGCCAGGTCTCGGCTCACTGTTGTGGCACAACTTCGGGTTCAGACCTGCTCCGCTCGTTTGCTGATGGGATCCGACTTGACTTCGGCGTGGGGTCGTTGACGCCAGTCATTGGTACTTTCTTCGCCATCAAGCCTCTGCGCGAATGCTTGCATGCTCTTGCCATCGCTGTGGAGTCCCAAATGGACGCCTCCTGCTACACATCATCCCCATCCCCACCTCCTTTCAGAAAGACAACGGGGGATACGACATGATGCATGCAAAACGAGCAGCAACACATGTGGTCCAATGACTTTTCTGCTGGTGCCCAAGAGCGCCTCTAGCATTCCCAGTGCCGATCTACCGTGCTGGGAAGTGAGCAGCGGCGGTCTAATCCTCCACTCACTAAGACCTGGGCCGAGGCGAGAAAGGAACGATTCTGGGACACAGCATCGACCGCACTGAGGCACAGGCGCACAAAGGTCCGATGCATATAACTCGGGCGCGGCCGCAAGACACCCTCGCAAGAAACCTAACCCTGACAAGCCCGCGCGCGAGGTGCACCAGAGGGGAAACCTGGAGCACCGAGAACGCAGCAGCTCTTTCAACGGCCGTGGGAAGTCACCGCGCAGCGCGAGGAGCGAAGAAACCCAGGGTACCCTGAAGAAAAGCATACGGTTTCTTGATGCACGCCCCCACTATACCACTCGGCGGACGAAGCAGTCGCGAAACTGAACTCGACGGGGGGCCACGCACCGGCGGCAATGTCACGATCCGCACACCCCGCGGGAGTGCGCACGCACAGCGCCGTGTTGCCTCACGATCCCTCCTGTGCTGCGAAGTCTTGCTTTCCGAAACTGTCCTCCTCCTCCTCCTCCTCCTCCTCCTCCTCCTTCTCCTCTTCCTCCCTCTTGCTCCTGCACCTGCTGCCGCCACGGCCACCGTGCTCGGGCGGGGCAGCGTGGCCGTCCCGAATCAATGCGTCCACCCGCCTGCACTGCAGGCCTCCAGCATAGACACGTGCACGACCCGCAGACTTCGCGTATCGAGTCCGCCACGCGCGGAACGGGCTCCCCGTCCCATTGCGGTTGTGTCCACTGGATGTCCGCCAGCGGAGACCCAGGGTCATGACGACGAGCGCTGCCACTGCCATCCTGCCCGTGCAAGATTGCGACGGGGTATCTCGCGATACATTGCTCCGCACGTCGCACCGCGCTCGGACGGGCGAGCTGCCACTGCCTTCCTGTCTAGGTGCGGTCTGCGCAATCGTGCGCACGCTGCGGAAAGCTGCTCCGCAAGCCGCGCCGCTCTCGGACAAGCGAGAACGATTCCGCCGTCTTCCGCCCGCAAACCAACCGCGGTTTTACAGAGAAGCTGGAAACAGTGGAGGCTGGAAACCCTATGAAAGTGGAAGTGGCCCGGGCGACATTGGCGCTGAAGCGAGCCCGAAACGGTTGTGATGAGGCCGCCAGGGCCAGAAAGACTGGACGCAAACAGGCCAGGGCTGGAAACAGTGGAAGGGCTGGCCATGGCCACCTGTTCCAGCTTCCCTGCACGTCGGCCGTCTTCCGTACCTAGCGCACTACCTCCAATGATCAATCGGCGCAGGAGGTCTCGTGTGGGGTATCGTCACTGTGCTTAACCAGAAGCGCGACGAAAAGCAAGCAAAGGCAGGCGGGTATCTCCGTGCCCCAGCCCCGCCCCTACGCGCTCTCCAGCAGGAGGGCGCCTAAGGGCGGCCGTCTTCCGCCTGCTTCCACCAGAAGGCGAGGCCCTTGCTGGACCGCCCCTGGTGGCGACAAGGGCCCGCCCACATCGCTAGGAACAAACATCGGCACACGAATAATATGGCGAAGCCAGGACGAGAACAACTTCGGCTGAGGATGACTCGAGCATCCCTGAGATCCGGCGGCTCTGGAGGATGTCCCCGGCGCCGCGGCCTTCTCAGCGCGTTCGGGAAAGCGCTGACAGCGTTCCAGAACGCCCTGGAACGGATTCTTTGGAGTCCCGAAACGGTGCGGTGACGCACCGTGCGGTGACCTCGAAATCCCCCAAGACCTCACCGCACGGTCCGTCACCGCACGGTCTTGGGACCTCGGAGGCCCCCGTCGCCCGAGACGTCCTCGGAGAACGAGCCGAGTCCCAAAACCGTGCGGTGACCCCGAATGCCCACCGACTCACCGCGCGGTGTGGTCACCGCACCGTTTGGGGCCCCCCGAGATTCATCGTCGCTCTGGCCCCGCCCGGAATCAGCTTCTGGAGGTCCGCACGGGCTCCTCGGATCGGCGCCGCAGCGCGCGAGGGGCAACGACGCAGGCGCTACCGGGGGGGGGGGGTCCAGCGCCGACCCAATCCACTTCTGTTTCTGCGCGGACCTCCAGACGCTTCTGTTTACGGCCATGAGCTTTTGCTCGGCGATCCGCGGCGGCGGCTTCTGCGACACGCTATGCCCTGCACGCACCTAGCGTGTCGCGCTGCTTCGTGGGGCGGGATGCTGGGAACAGCTCGGAGCGCTGAAGCCTGGGAACTGGGATGTGCTGAGCGTGTCGCGCCGAGACGTGGTGGGCCAAGACCAGAGATGCGACCCGCTAAGCAAACGTTCCTGGCCGTGTGCCGTGTCTCCGACGATCCAGGGGGGCGGGGGGCGCGAGGGTCATAGGGGGACCGAGGGTACGCTCTGGAATACGAAAAGGGGGCCATGCAATCGCCCAGGCCATGATATCCCCACCCCAATCATCACCCCCTCTTGGCCGCCACTGAGTTTCTCCTCTCTGTGCCAAACTCCCCGCGCCCGCTGGCACTCTCTCGACCCTGCCCGCCCCGCCCGCCCCGTCCGCCACTCCGCGCACCCCTCCCCGCCTACCCTGTCTGGTCTCTGGCACCGCGTCCTGCCCCCGCCCCCCCCCCCCCCTCTGCCCACAACACCCAGGAAGAGAAAGAGAGAGAGAGAGAGAGAGAGAGTGAGAGAGAGGCAGAGGAGGACCTGGAGGAGTGCGAGGAGGAGGAGCAGGAGGAGGAGCAGTAGGAGGAGGTGGAGGAGGAAACGAGCGTGACAGAGGAAGAGTAGGAGGAGGAACATTAGGAAGTGGTGGACGAGGAGGAGGGGCCAACACCTGTGCAGGAGGAAGGTCGGGTTCATAGCAGTGCGCAGCGGCAGGCGGAGCACGGGGACCAGGAGGGGGACGACAAAGATAAAAGGCAGGAAGAGGATTGGCAGCAGCAGGAGGCACCACGAGAGGATGGGGAAAGGGAATCAGCAAGAACAGCATCGGGGGAGACAGGGAGAGGGCTCAAACCGCCTATTGAAGAGGCACCACGTGAGGCCGTGCATTCAGCAGCGTTGCCCTGAGCCCAGGGACAATCAATGGAGCCAGGGAAGGGGATGCACCTCATCCTCCCTTCTCCTCCCTTGTCCCAGTTTTCCTCCTCCCTCCTCCTCCTTCCCTTTCTCGCTCCTGCTCCTCTCCTCCTCCTCGCTCCGTCTCCGTCCCTTGTATATGTATATGTATATATATATATATGTATATATAACTCCTCCCTGTCGCGCCCCCAGACGTGTCGATAGGGCGTGGCCAGGCGCTTCGCCAGAAAAATCATCACCACGTACGGCACTGACGATGGACATTTGCAACAACTTCACGGATGTAGGGCAGCCGGTCTTCAAAGTGTGGCTCACACCTCAGCGCCGCGCACATTCTTCATACAAGGTTGCACGGAGCTTCACGGATGGAGGGCGGACGGTTTTCAAAATGTGGCTCAGGCCGGAGCGCCGCGCGCAGTCATTTCAACGTTTGCAGCAGTTCTGCGAATAGAGTGCGGGCGGCGTTCAAACTGTGGCTCTTACGTCCGCGCCGCGCACATGCGTCTTACAGTTTGCAGCAGTTGGAGGGCGGTTCCTGTTCAACAGGTGGCTTTCGCCTTAGCGCCGTGCACCTTCGTCTTTCACATTTCAACAGTTGAAAAAAGGTCCACATGGCCCGGGTCCTAAGGCAAGTTTACTGGCACGATGTAGGAATGCCAGGGCGCAACCGTCACTTTGATTCGCGGCGTTGTTTTCCCAGGAATACTGTTCTGGCACGGTTCAGGTTTGCCAGGACGCAATAGTCACTTTGATTCGCAGCGCTGAAGTCCCAGGAGCTGTGTTTTGGTGCGATCGAGAATTCTCAGACGTTTGTCTTCCAATGGGAAACTCCCCGCAACGAAAATACGTACATTCTTGCATGAAACTATTAAGAGGGAAATTGGGGGGAGCGTCTATTCCAACATCGTTGATGCACCTTGGGTTTGAGCTGGTCCTCCCTGTTCCTCCTCCTTATCCTCCCTCCTCGGGCTCCTCCCTCCTCCTCCTCCTCCTGCTCCTCCTCCTTCTCGTGCTCCTCTTCCTCGTCGTCGTCGTCGTCGTCCTCGTCCTCGTCCTCGTCCTCCTCCTCCTCCTTCTCCTCCTCCTTCTCCTCCGCCTCCCCTGCTTGGGTTCCCCTGCCAGGAAGACGGCTGGGCCTGCCGAAGCGAGCGGCGCGCAGGTGCAGCGCCAGCTGCCGTAGGTCCACGTCGTCCAGCGAGCCGTTGTGGCCGCAGTCCACGTGCATGACGTAGCTGCGGCGCGCGCGCCCCCCCCCGCGTGCAGTGTGCGCGCCGTGGCATGGCAGAGACCATTGACCCCAAGGCCACGCCGCGGAGGCGTCGGCGTTTTGCTTCTGACACCGCGTGTGTCCTTCAATCTAACGACGACGACGCGTCTACGTGCACAGCGTAGCTGGGCGCGGCCCCTGCGCAGGGCGTGTGCCGCAGGAAGGCAGGGGCCAACGACTCCGAGCCTTACGGCACGGCTCAGGCCGCGGTGTCGTCGGCGCATTGCCTCTGCCACACTGTGTGGCCCGTTCGACCTCGACACCGCGTGGACGTGACGCTGCAGCCCACGTGCATGCCCTAGCTTGGCTCGGCCCCCGCGCAGCGCGTGCGCCGCGGCAGGCCGGGCGCTCGTTCACCAGGGGCGACAGTGAACTCGGATGGGGGGCGCGCCAGTCGAGACAACGGCGGCCCTCCCTGACGTTTCTCTGCCCCCTCCGGGCCTCCTGGGGGCCCTTCGTCGCCGCGGCTGGGTCTGCCTCGAAGACCTGGCCCGGATGGGCCCTGGGAGGGGTCTGGAGGCTCCGCTGGCGTGGACTCGAGCTCGTGGGGCCGCGCGATCTCCTCTGCAGCGGGGGGAGGGCGCGAGCCCCTGCTCTGCGGGGGCGGGCGCGGCCCGCGGCCGCGGCCCCAGGGAGCGAGGAAGGGGGGGCGCCGCCTCCAGGGGTTGCGGACGTCTGGCGGCCTGCTGGCGAACAGGGAGGGGGAGAGGGCGCAGGCAGGGGGGGGGCTCGCCTGTGGGCAGTGGCGGGCTCCTGGCTGGGCGCCGGCGAACGAGGGCCAGTGCTGAGGAGGGGGGGGGGGAGGAAGGCGGAGGAGGAGAACCGCCGAGGGGCCGCCTCTTCATCGGGGCCGCATCCGCGGCGCTGTCTCCGCGTCGCGGCCGGCGCCGGCCCCAACGCGGAGGTCGGCCGGTCGCGACCTCGCAAGCCCTCCCAATGCGAACTGACAGTGCGACTGCGCAAACTTGTTCTTTGAAGGGGGAAGAGGAGAGCGGACATCCCAGCGAAAGCCTCCACAAGCGGCGCGAAAGAAATTCAGGTGGAACATGCGGGAGAGCAGACATGCGGACAATTGAACTATCCAATGAACGAACTGGGAAACACGTGCACTGCTTGCCAGAGAAAAGAAATCGCACCCAGATTAAGACCTCGCGGTGGCAACCTAAGCGGTCGCAACCGAGACTGGGCAGTGCGACCAACAAAGTGACACCTAGAGTCCAGGGAGGAGGGAAGACGAGGGGGAGGAGAAGGACGAAGGAGGGGGGAAGCATCAAGCAAGCTAGGATTGTATACAAAACTAGGGCGCAACACGAAGCTCCGTGAATCACCACGCAGACCTGCACGCCCTCGAACGTCGAACGGCCAGGCGGCAGCTCGATCAACTCGACAATGCGACTGCGCAAACTGGCAACGACGTACTTTTTAAACGGGTGCCATCCCACGGCTGAAACGGCACCAATCAAACCGGGAACCTTACACGATCCGACCCGCGACAGGCACACTCGTGCAGTTAACTTTGGCCTGGAAGATGAAGCGATTGTGCGCATGCAAGCGAACTTGTAATGACGACGGCAACGTGGAGTTTCTGCACTCGGGGAAGTGTAAGACTTGGGTCTCGTCATTTTCGTGATGGCCCCGTCAGGCCATCCCGAATCTCCCGAACCCAATCTGAAATTTGACGTGAACTCCCGCTGCAAACATCCCACGACAACTGGACCGTCAACATCCAAGACGCGCTCGTCAAAAAGCGTCGGCAAATCAGAGTTCCAGCATGCTCGAGTCTTACGTTTCCCCGATGCACATCTGCTTGACCATCAAAATCCACGGGCTATTGCGTATGTCAGTGGATGCTTACAGAGACAAGGCTCCCTGCTGCTCCTCCTGCTCCCTCTCCTCATGCTGTGGCAACTCCGTGCCGTGACGACCCAGGCGCTGGTTTCTGGCACCGCGTGGATCGTTTGACTTTGAGCGGTCGGCGGCTTTTCGATCGCCAGAAGGTTCCATGTTGGCCGATTCTGGGTCACTGGCGGCATTCAACCTTGAACGGCCTGCGGCAGAGTCGTCGCCGCGTCGCCACGACACGAACCTGCCGTAATCATCGTCGTGGTCGTGGTCGTCGTCGTCATCCTCGTCGTCCCCATCCTTCTCCTCCTTCTCCTCTCGTTGGCAACCAGGCCAGCGGCGATCAGGGGGGCGAGACGAGAGAAAGGCGGCTGCGGCGGGGCAGCGCGCCCAGCCACGGAATGGTCGATGGCCGGCTTCGGCGTGGCCGACGGACCCTCGCGCCGCGCGCCGCAGGGGAGAGCGGCGGGAGGAGTAATAAAGAGGCCGAGGGAGACAAGACACAAACAAATAGGAACGAATTCAAGGATCCCCATCCTGTTTTTCGACATTCTCTGGGTGTTCGTCTTCCCCTCCATCTCCTGTGTTTCGATAAAATTTACCGACGTCGACGGTTCTATTGGTGTCTGTGTCTATTCTTAGGTCGGGCATGTCCTACAACAGGGGATCTTCGACGTACAATGAGAAGTCGCCAAGCAACAACTCGGCAATTAATCATAAATACTCAAACGTCGCCCCCATAATATTATTGTAGATGTCTGAATATTCCTCCTGTAGAGGGACAGGCCCGACTTAATTCTATTGGTGTCTGTGTCTGTCCTTCCTTCCTGGGGTGGTGGTGGGGGGGCGATCGAGGGCTGCAGGGGGGCGGCCCCAGGGGCGGGCCCGCAAGGAAAGGGCCCCTGCACCGCCGCCGCGGCCTCGAAAGGTGCCAGAAGGGTGCGCCTTTCCTCCTCCTCCTCCTCCTCCTCCTCCTCCTTCTCCTCCTCCTCCTCCTCCCCCTCCTCCACCCCCTCCTCCTCCTCCTCCTCCTCCTCCTCCTCCTCCTCCTCCCTCCTCCTCCTCCTCCTCCTCCTCCTCCCTCCTCCTCTCTCTCCCTCCTCCTCCTCCTCCTCCTCCTCCTCCTCCTCCTCCTCCTCCTCCTCCTCCCTCCTCCTCCTCCTCCTCCTCCTCCTCCTCCTCCTCCTCCTCCTCCTCCTCCCCCGTCGGTGGTGGGGTTCGGGCCCCGGTCTGGAGCCTCTAGCCTTCCCTGGCAGCGGGGTGGGGGCCGTCGCCGATATTGGGCCCGTACCTCTCAATCACTGATTCCTCCAGCTTGTTATGAGCCCTTTCGTTTTGTTGACGCTTTGCCTTCTACCTCGCCTTTGATGTCCAACCTTCGCCAACGTCTTGGCGTATACATCCGCCAACCCATGCCACGGATTTCTTCTTACAACATTCGCCCTTTCCAACATGTTATATACTTTCGCCTCTCTTGGTTTGCTTGGCGCTCTTGCAATTACCGTTCCACGAAACGCCTTTCACAAATCAGTCGTCGCTTTCGTTCGCAACGCGGCACCATTTTCACCGTACGCATCGCCGTGTCCAACTTTTCCTGCCAACACTCGGACCGAGATGTGCCGTCGGTCCACATGCTCTCATGTGCAACATGTGGTTGGCCGCCCTTGCGGCTTGGAAACGCAACAACGGAATCGCCTGTTCTCGACTCAATTCTGGACGACGGTTTTCCCATGGCGGCAATCACAAACAACTGTCAACAATGGTGTGGTACTCTGGGTGGCGAATTACGACCTCGACTATTTTCGCACGAGAGCCGTCAACAATACTTCGCCGCCCACGCGTTTTATACTTGCTCGCTCCCCTGGGGGATCGGCCAACTGTTTATCTGTATGTTTGATTCCTGGGTTAACTAGTGACACCATTGTCTCACTACAAGCATGTGCCGCTTCTGTGCGCCGATGCTCTTGGACATTTCTGCGAACAATTAACTTGTCATGTGTAAGTTGCTGTCCGCGAATCGTCTGGGGATGCACCGCAGACTGTTGGTTAAACGACGCACCGTCTGGTTGAACATTCTTCTCTGATAGAGCATCTATCTCGTCAGCACGCTAAAACTAACACCTCAAGCTGCATAGCAGAAGCAGTCGTTAAGGTTGCCAGGTGGAGATGCTGCAACTATTTCCTTCGTTGGGGCACATTCGTCAAATGCGTCTCTGCTTCGAGACAATTGGGTCAAGCACGTCTGCACCTGGGAGAACGTTCCGTTGTAGAAAGTGGCTTTGGGCAATCTCTTCAGCTTCGCATTTCCGCGGCTGGCCAAATTACATTGGTTGCACCAAGCCATGCTTTTATGCAACATTAGGCCGATGAATTTCGAACCGTCGATTCCCAACCAAGCAACGTAGTTCTGCTCAAGTGGAGACTGATTATTTCCAAGGCGCGGGCGACCAATGCGCGTTGCTCATTGAACCGTGGGGAGGCTCAACGTATCACGTGCCCATTGCATGTTGAAACGTCGCTCTCCGATGCGACAACGATGTTACCCAACTCTCTTGGAAACAACCCTGCGCATCCCGTGTCGATCATTTGTGCTCCTGGTGGCTGCTATAAATTTCATCATGGAGCGCATCTACTTGACAATTCCGACCTAGAGAATTTGACAAACCTCTCATACCGTCACGAGGCGGAAACATCAAGACTGGTACCTTTACCGGAAAGGTCTCGTTTTCAATGCGCTCTGGTCCTCGGGCCTGTGCCAACTAACTGATTCATGTTGACTTTGCGTCATGGATTTCCTTGTCCGCGAAAGTACGTTGAGCATCCTGGCATCCCGAGGGTCATATTATCAATCGCTGTGTCAGCGTGGGCCTGTTGTTTGATACCAAGAGTAAGATCCGCAACCACTGAGGGATGGTAGGGCTGCCATGGACTGCCAAGCTTGTTTCGGTCCCCTTATAAAGCGTTGCGTCCCCCCTGCTACAAGCATGCATTCGGGTTATGGCCTTCAAACCTCCATCAGTAAGTTGCACTGGACTCAATGAGGCAGAGTGGCGCACATTTGTGCGTTGCCCATCATCAGTCGGATTCGCATCCTGAGTGCGCGTGCCGTACTCCTGATTCTCCTGTCTCAAAAGAGAATAGACTCTACCCCCCCCGGAGGTATCCGTACCCCTTTCGGGTATGTAAATCATATATGACTCTGACCACATGTCTATCCGAAATATGAATTTATAATATCCCCGCGGGGGCCGGGATCGGCCCCCCTGAGATTTCCTTGAAAAACGATACGCGGGGACATTTTTTGATCTAGCGTAAGACTTTTTTCGCGAATCCCTTGCAAATAATGGGACGAAGTGCACACGCGCGCGCGTCGTCGCGCGCGCATGCCGAAATCCTTCAAAAACCTTCGGTGTCGGAAAGATTTCGCAATCGAGCTTCCCAAAAAAACATACAAACACACAGGGTTCCGCAACACTGATTTGCTAAAAAGGCTTACGCGCGAGCTCTTGCGAAATCTCAAGGAAACCATAGGTTTTTCAAGATTTTCACAACATGCTACCAAACGGGCTTCGCGCCCGCGCATGTCGAAATCTGCCGAACGCTCCTGCGCGTGTGCCGTCGCGAGAATCCTCTGCAACAAATGGGACGAAGTGCAGACGCGCGCGTCGTTGCGCGCGTATGGCGAAATCCTTCAAAACCCATCGGTTTCGGAAGGATTTCAAAATCGTGTCCACAAAACCTACAAACAGACAAGGTTTCGCAACACGGATTTTCAACAAAAGCGTGCGCGCGCGCTCTTGCGTCGTCGTCGTCGTCGTCGTCGTCGTCGTCGCCGTCCTCCCTCCTCCCGCGTCGTCGTCGTCGTCGAGGTCGCCTACGTCGTCCTCTGTCTTTCCTCGTGTTCGTCGTCGGCGTCCTCTTTGGCGTCGTGGTCGGTTCCGTCGTCGTTGTCGCCGTGGTCGTCCTTCCTCTACCTCCCTCGTCGTCGTCGTCGTCGTCCGTCGTCGGCATCTCGTCGTCGTCCCTCCTATTTCGTCGCCGTCTTCGTCGTCGTCGTCGTCGTCGTCGTCGTCGTCGTCGTCGTCTTCCCTCCTCCCTCGTTGTTGTCGTCGTCGGCGTCGCCGTCCTTCCTCATTCTTCGTCGTTCGCGTCGTCGCCGTCCTCCCTCCTCCCTCGTCGTTGTCGTCCTTGTCGCCGTCGTCGTCCTCCCTCCTCCCTCGTCGTCGCTTCGTTAGCGACGTCGTCGTCGTCTTCGTCGTCGTCGTCGGCGTCGGCGTCGTCGTCGTCGTCGTCGTCAACGTCGGCGTCGTCGTCGTCGTCGCCGCCGCCGTCGTCGTCGTCGTCGTCGTCGTCGTTGTCGTCGTCGTCGTCGTCTTCCCTCCTCCCTCGTCGTTGTCGTCGTCGCGGTCCTTCCTCCCTCGTCGTCGTTCGCGTCGTCGCCGTCCTCCCTCCTCCCTCGTCGTTGTCGTCGTTGTCGCCGTCGTCGTCCTCCCTCCTCCCTCGTCGTCGCTTCGTTAGCGACGTCGTCGTCGTCTTCGTCGTCGTCGGCGGCGTCGTCTTCATCGTCGTCAACGTCGGCGTCGTCGTCGTCGCCGCAGTCGTCGTCGTCGTCGTCGTTGTCGTCGTCGGCGGCGTCGTTGACGTCGTCGTTGTCGTCATCGTCGTCGTCATCGTCGTTGGCGTCGGCGTCGGCGTCGTCGTCGTCGTCGTCGTCGGTGTTGTCGTCGTCGTCGTCGTCGTCGTCGTTGTGGGCGTCGTCGAAGTCGTTGGAGACGTCATCGGTGTCGTCGTAGTCGTTGTCGGCGGCTTCGTCGTCGTCGTCGTCGTTGTCGCTGTCGTCGTCGGCGTCGCTGTCGTTGCCAAGTGCCATTTGGTACCCACCGTCACGGTCTTAAGAGATTTTGCAAACCACGTTGCGGGTGGGTGGGTGGGATGTTTGCGCGAGCAGTGGAGGTGGTCAAGCGCGGTGCAGGGTAGTCAGTTTCACCACCCATAGCTTTTCCTTGAGCCACCTGCAATGGCAGAGAGCAGCAGCAAGCACGTACTGAACACACGATGATGACGCCGAAGATGACGAGCTGGACGAGGACAACGACGACGATGACGTCGAAGACGGCGGCGATGACGAGGAAGAGGCCCACGACAAGGACAACGACGACGACCTCCTGGACCTAGGCACCGAACCACGCCCAATGGAGCAGGGGGGGCACCCCAGCCCCACGCCACACCCGCAGGGGTGGGGACCCACCGGCGGGTTGGTGTGGGGGCGCGAATCGTTTAGCCGTCTCTGCTAGCAGCGATGGCACTCACGAACACCTCGAGCCTATGCCGAAGAGGCTCGAGGGAGGGAGGAGGACGCGACGGCGGAATCAGATGATGACGATGATCTCTTAGCATGGGGGAGGTCCCCGGGATCATATGCGCCCGTTGCCTTCCTCCTCCCCCCCCGTCCCCCTGTGCCGCATGCACTTCACCATGCTGTGCCCTCCTCTGCTCGTGTTGCTTCTCCCACATCGGAACTCCTTAGACCCGGGTGTCGGCTCGGCGCTTGCTCGAGATGGCGGATCACTCCCAGGGATTTCTGGGACAACCATCGCGCACCACTTTTGGCCATGGCGTCTCTGTCACCAAGTGGCTCCTGTTTTGCTCGCGGGCCCCTCTGGCAGCGGCCTCGAGTGCGCCAGGCTCCAGAGAGCCAGAACGATCAGAATCAGCTTCGCAATCCCCGAGCAGACCAGAAGGAGGACCGGAGGGGGAGGGTGGGGGTTTCACTGGTTTCACCGTGGCCCTCTGAGGCCACCAGTCGGCTTGATGAGCTCCTGGGACCCCCAGATCCTTAGTGGGATTGGCCCAGCCAGCGAAGCGGGTGAATGCCCTGACGGTGGGGGCGGGCGACGAACGACGACGGCGACAAGCGACGAGCGACGAGCGGCGATGTCGAACGACGGCGGCGAGCGGCGAGCGGCGAGCGGCGGCGGCGAGCGGCGGCGGCGAGCAGCGCTGGCGACGACGACGAGCGACGACGAGTGACGACGGCTACCGACGAGCGACGATGAGCGACGGCGGCGAGCGGGCGGGAACGAACCTCTGGTGGCAGCTGGGCCTCGGGCGCGCCGCGCCGCGCTGCAGCGAGAGGGCGGCGCGGGGCGACGCCTCGTCGCCGCGCTGGCCCGCCCTGGCGCCCGGCTTCTCGTCCGAGGAGGAGTCGCTGGCGGGCGCGCGCCGCCCCGCAGGGACTTCGCAAAGGGCCCCTCCGCTGCTGTGCCCCCCCCGCCTCTGCTGCCGCCGCGCAGTGGGGCAGGCACGCGCTGCGAATAGCATCTCCGCGGAGGCCTTTTGAGGGGGAGCCATGGTGGGGGGAGGGGTGGGACCGACTTAGGGGCAACCGTCGACCTGGAATTGGCGATACATCGCCCAGAGATCGACGATGTGCGGGGGGCCAGCACTGATTTCGCGCTGTGGCGATCTTTGCTGGAGTACTGGCGCGCCACCACTCACCCATCGCCGACAAAAACACTGCAATGGAGTTACACACATAAGGAATGTCTCGACACGGAGATCCTATACGTGCACCTCAAATCCTGACACTCCCGTCTGTGAGCGTCTTGGTGAAAGAACCTTAGCCTGTGGCAACTGGGCCGTTCCTTGGCGGCTCCTCTCCAGGAGCGCCGGACTGTTGTGCCTGCCACACGGTCGCCATCTTGGGCCTCCGAGAGGAAAGGTGCTGGGGGTGCTGAAAACCGACGTTTCGCTTCAGAGGACCCCCGAGCTGAGCGCGAACTGGCAAGCGCAACACACCGTACGCAATGCCTGCTACATCGTGGTGGTCATGATGGGTGGGTGGGGGGTGGAGCGGCGACTGCACGCAAACCGTCTGATACGTCACCGCACTCTGGGCGCGAACGGGCGGAGCGTCCCCCTCCCAAGCGGCTTCCCCCTAAGGTGCCCAAGTGCCGCTTCTCGTAAGTCGCGGTGGTCATGCGGCTTCCCAAAGAAGCACAGCAAGCAAACTGCTTGAGGCATCCGCACCGCCTGGGCCTCTTGCGGGCGAGCGTCCCCGCTCCCGGGGGCTGCTCCCGCGCGCGGTGCCCACGCGCCACGCCCGCTGGGCCGTGGCAGCCGCAGGGCTCCCAACGGAAATCTGACTGGGACGGTGCCTGGAAGCATCCCCACCACGACTTGGGCGCGAACGAGCGAGGCGAGTGCCCCTCCACGCCCTGGGCGCGCACGGGCGAGCGTCATGCCACCTGGCGGCCCCCCCCCCCTCCCTCCCTCTGGGGGGCCCAAGTGCCACGCCCCTGCTATGCCGCGGTGATCGTGGAGCTCTCCTGGGAAATCGCCTGAGCCTTCGCCACGCTCTGGGCGCGAACGTGCGGGTGTCAAACCCCAGGGCGCCCCCCCTGTTTCCCCCACGGTATCCAAATGCCACGCTTTCTCTGTCGTTGTGATCACACGGTGAGTGTGAATGACCATGTTGTGAATGGTATGTGTGGTGTGTATGCGTAGGAGTTTGAGTGTGGCTTTGCTCGGTATGGGTTATTCTGGGGGCTCCGTGTAAGCGGGCCTCGGTATACGCAGCTCGAGATACCAGTGGAGCTGACTGAGAGTGCGTCAGAGTGTGGGCTGATATGAGTGTGAGTGCGTCTGAATGTTAGTGCGTCTAGACATGAGAGGAGGAGGGAGAGCCACAGTACGAAGCACCCCGCCTGAAACACCGCCGCAATCTGAACTCAAATAATGGTGCGTCGTGCCCTCAAACGGCTCCCACTTCGGGTGCCCGGGTGCCGTGCCTGCTATATCGGGCAGTGGACGACCAGAAGAAAGACGTCTGGGGGGCCGAGATCAACACACCGCCCGAGCCATCCCTACACGATGGGCGCGATGACTGGAATACCATATCCCCTTGGGTGCCCGAGTGCCACCCCTGCTGTATCCCGGTAAGCACTGGACCACCACACTTTTTCCCCACCTGACAGGTTGGGGTCGTTGGGATTTAAGAGCAGGCCTCCCCGCCCGCCCGCCCTGCATGCCGCGGCCGCAAGATCCCCGGGCTCCCGATCATCCCTGGCGATCCCGCCCCCCCCCCCGCCCTGCATACCGCGGCCGCCAGATCCTCAGGCTCCCGTTAATCCCTGGTGGTCCCGCTCCCCGCGCCGACTCACCAACACTGCATACCGCAGCCGCCAGAGCCCCCACAGAACAGAGCATAACACCACACCACCGAACATAACATCTCCGAGCGTTACATACCATATCATGGCATACCATATCCTGACATAACACGCCATGACAGAGCAGTGCATACCATGGCACAACATCATAGCATATACCATTCCGTAACATGACAAGCCAAACATACCATAACACAGCAACGCATAACTGAACATACCAAACCAGACCATGCCACATCATCACATAACCTGGCATTTCATACCATACCACAGCGGCATACCAACGCATGCTATGCCATATCGAAACATACATCACATAACATAACCGATCATAACCACCTGGCCGAGACCACCTCGTCGCCCTGCGCACATCGTTCCAATGTGCGCGCGCACCTTCGGGATCAAATGCCGAAGGCTTCGGTGGGGATCGCTTGAAGCAGCATTTCTTTTCCCAACCATCCTGTGGTCTTGGGTCCTCGTTTTGAAGAGACGGTGCCCCGCGTCTCCTCCTCCCGTGCCCCCTCCCTCCTCCCTCCTCCTCTCGGCTTACCCCTCACACGTTTCGTAGCCCCATAGGGAGCTCCACCGAAGGCCCCATTGGTTGCTCTCGCATGCGGTTCACCCACCCATGGCAGCTTTTCGTGGCCCCTACAGGGAGCTCCACCGAAGGCCCCAGTTGCTGCTCTCGCATGCGGTTCCCCCACCCAGGGCAGCGTTTCGTGGCCCCATAGGGAGCTCCACCGAAGGCCCCAGTGGCTGCTCTCGCATGCGGTTCCCCCACCGAGGGCATCGTTGCGTGGCCCCATAGGGAGCTCCACCGAAGGCCCCAGTGGCTGCTCTCGCATGCGGTTCCCCCACCCAGGGCAGCGTTTCGTGGCCCCACAGGGAGCTCCACCGAAGGCCCCAGTGGCTGCTCTCGCATGCGGTTCCCCCACCCAGGGCAGCGTTTCGTGGCCCCACAGGGAGCTCCACCGAAGGCCCCAGTGGCGCAGTTCGCATGCGGGTCCCCCACCCAGCGTTTCCCCCACCTTGGCAGCGTGGCAGCCCCCATAGGGAGCTCCACCGAAGGCCCCAGTGGGGGTGTTCGCATGCGGTTCCCCCACCCAGGGCAGCGTTTCGTGGCCCCATAGGGAGCTCCACCGAAGGCCCAGTGGGGGTTCGCACGGTTCCCCCACCCAGGGCAGCGTTCGTGGCCCCATAGGGAGCTCCACCGAAGGCCCTGGGCTGTTCGCATGCGGTTCCCCCACCCAGGGCAGCGTTTCGTGGCCCCATGGGGAGCTCCACCGAAGGCCCCAGTGGCGCAGTTCGCATGCGGTTCCCCCACCCAGGGCAGCGCTTCGTGGCCCCATAGGGAGCCCCAGTGGCTGCTCTCGCATGCGGTTCCCCCACCCAGGGCAGCGTTTCGTGGCCCCATGGGGAGCTCCACCGAAGGCCCCCAGTGGCTGCTCCCGCATGCGGTTCCCCCACCTAGGGCAGCGCTTCGTGGACCCATAGGGAGCTCCACCGAAGGCAGCGCTTCGTGGCTCCATAGGGAGCTCCACCGAAGGCCCCAATGGCGCAGTTCGCATGCGGTTCCCCCACCGAGGGCAGCGTTTCGTGGCCCCATAGGGAGCTCCACCGAAGGCCCCAGTGGCTGCTCTCGCATGCGGTTCCCCCACCCAAGGCAGCGTTTCGTGGCCCCATGGGGAGCTCCACCTAAGGCCCCAATGGCGCAGTTCGCATGCGGTTCCCCCACCCAGGGCAGCGTTTCGTGGCCCCATAGGGAGCTCCACCGAAGGCCCCAGTGGCTGCTCTCGCATGCGGTTCCCCCACCCAGGGCAGCGTTTCGTGGCCCCATAGGGAGCTCCACCGAAGGCCCCCGTGGCGCAGTTCGCATGCGGTTCCCCGCCCAGGGCAGCGTTTCGTGGCCCCATAGGGAGCTCAACCAAAGGCCCGCCCCAGTGGCGCAGTTCGCATGCGGTTCCCCCACCCAAGGCAGCGTTTCGTGGCCCCATAGGGAGCGCCCCACCGAAAGCGGCACCCACAACGCGTTACGAAAAATTGCTTATGGTTGAGTCCTTCGCTAGGATATTTTTGTTGTGGGGGGGGGGGTCAGGAGGGGGGTGAAGCAGGCAGACCACCGGATGCATCCCCACATTCTGGGCGCGAAGCAGGGAATGCCATACCACTCCACGGTCTCCCTTGGGGTGACCGAGGTGACACGCATGCTACTTCGCGGCAAGCATTGAACCATCAAAAGAATGACGTCCGAGAGGGGCTAAACAAGCAAACAGCCTGAGACATCCCCGCAACCTGAGCGCAACGAATCGAATCTTATGCTCACTGGCGGCGCCCCCAGCCCTCTGGGTGCCCGAATGCCACGCCAGCAATATCGCAATGAGGACTGGGCTACCAACATGGCCAGCCATTTCAAACTGCCTGAGAGATCCATCCGATCTGGACGCGAATAATGGAATGTAATACCCCCTGGCGGCTCCCTCTTTGGGTGCCCGAGTGATACGCCTGCTGGATCGCGGTGAGCATTGGACCATAAGACGTCTGGGGCGGGGGGGGAGGGGATGGGGGGGCTACAACAGCACACCGCCTGAGACATCCGCACAGCATGGACGCGAGTAGTGAAGGGTCATACCCTCAAGCGGCTCCCCCTTCGGGTGCTCGAGTACCACGTCTGCTATATCGCGGTAAATGTTGGACCACCACAAGAGACACGTATTGTGGGGGGAACAAGCAACCTTTGGGTGCCCGATTGTCACGTGTGCTGAAACCAGCGCCTCGCTCGTCTGAGTGTTGGTGAGTCTGACTATATGAGTGGGCCTGAGTGTGAGGGGGTATGAGTGCAAGTGGGTATGAGTGCGAGTGAGTCCGAGGATGAGCGAGTCTGAGTAATTAAGGAGAAGCAGGACCAGGATGAGGAGGAGGAGGAGGAAGGTGTGTGATTTGAGTCGGCGGCGTCGAAATGACAACAAGAACTCCATCTTAAAATATGGACCGGATACGGGGAAACTATAATCCGCGCTCGCCCGTCCCCCGCACCGTCCCGCGACAGGACGCACAAACGAGTGATCGGCAAGCGCGCGGGCAGGGGCGCAGCTCTTTGCTCGAGTACAAGCGGCGTCGATTTTTGTGGCTGAGGCTTCTCGACGCGGCCTCCGCGCCCGCGCATTTGATCCTGCAAGTAGCTCTTCCAGGAATGGCAATCGCGCTCGCCTTTCTTTTCTCGGCGCTCCCAACGTAGTGCCCGATCGATCGCGTTGGGGGGATTACGCAGATTATGCGGGTCCCATCGAAAGCGTCGGGGACTTTCGCGGGCCCAGTCGAACGCATCGGCGGGCCATCCATGGCCCAATCGAACGCGGGTGGGTGCGTGGGTGAGTGCGCAACGGTAATATATTTCCCGACCAGATCTTCATACAACGCCCTGCAAAACTGTACTACAGCAAAACCCGACCCAAAAGACATTGATACATCGCCTGGCAATATCGGTTGATAATGCTCAGCAACATCGGTATACAACGAAATCACGATATACACTGTCAGTGCCACACCGCCCTGCAATCAAACGGTCGACAAAGACCAACCAAATCGTTACACAACGCCCAGGAAGTCTTTACCCTAACACCTGGCATCATCGTCATACCACGCCAGGTAGAGTTGCCACTCAACGGCCAAACATCGTCATGCAACGCCACGCCGAGTCGTCGCACAACGACCGCAGCAGCACGTTGACTTTGCAACGTGCCTCCCCAACGGACGAACTTCGATGTGGTGTCTCGTGCTTTGGGGCTCGTGCAGAGCCGCGAAACCGCGTCGTGCAGCCTCGTGTGCACGTCGGCCACGCGCGGGCTGAGCGGGGCCCTCCCCGCTGCTCTGAGAGCCTCACAAGGACCCCCTGTTGGAACGCATCGCCGCACTATTTGGAGGGACATTAGCGGCCTCCCACATGGGCTCCGAATTCATGAGGTCGGAGGATCGCGCCGGGTCGCCGACGCACCACCGATTCACCGCCTACGTCGGTGACGTATCGTCAACGTCGGCGCCGAGAAAATCGGGCTCCACACCGATCCGTATCGCCGATACGTCGCGGTCCCCCGACCCTACAGTCAGCTGGTGCCTTTTCAACCTGGCTCTTAGGTGTTGCGTGCTCCGCCTGGCAGGGACAACCTACCTGCACTGTGCTCCCACAGTGAGCCTGGGGCGCTACAAGCGCTGCAGGGCTACAGCGGCCACGAGTACGAGTGAAGTCAACACCTCGCCATCGCTCGGACGTCCATTCCCTGGGCATTCGTCGGTATCGTGCGTGCTTTTCCGCAGGGTGAACCAACATGCTTCTCGATGGTCCTCGCCGAGGGAAGATGCGCACGTCCGAGCGATGCCAAGACACACGCACAACACCCATCTGGGGGAAGCCTGGAGAGGCGTGGGGGGGAGCCTGGGGCGCTATGAGTGCAGCAGGGCAAACACAAATGGCCATGGGCTTCGAGAGGTGAGCCAGTCAGCCCCATCGCGTGCATGCGCCGAGGGCAGCGAGGGAAGAACTGCGACACCTGGCGCGAGAGGACCTGCCGAAGCGCGTACCGCTGCTGCTCCTCCTCCTCCTCCTCCTCCTATTTCCCTCCCTCCTCCGCAGGAGGCGGCCGAGGGGGAGGAGACAAGTTAGGCGCGCTCACGTCAGCATCTGACATCCTACCCCTCCCTCCCATCCCTTTACCATGGCGCTGATTTTCTCTATCCGCGGACGCGTGTCGTAGCGGACCTGTGGCTCCGCGCGCGTGTGCGTAGTGGGTGGTGGTGCGCGTGCGTGCGTGCGTGTGTGCGTGGTTGTGGTTGTTGTGGTGGTGTGTGTATATGTGTGTGTGTGTGCGTGTGTGCGCGTGTGCTGTGGTGTGACGTGGTGTGGCGTCTTGGTGGTTTGGTGGTGGGCCAGGTGCGTACGTGCGTGATGGCGGTGGTGGTGGTGGCGGTGGTGGTGTGTGTGTGTGTGTGTGTGTGTGTGTGTCTGTGTGTGTGTGTGTGTGTGTGTGTGTGTGTGTGTGTGTGTGTGTGTGTGTGTGTGTGTGTGTGTGTGTGTGGTGTGTGTGTGTGTGTGTGTGTGCGTGTGCGTGCGTGCGTGCGTGCGTGCCGTGCGTGCGTGCGCGTGCGTGCGTGTGCGTGTGCTGTGTGTGCGCGCGTGTGATGTGGTGTGACGCGGTGTAGCGTGGTGGTGGTGGGTGGGGTAGTGCGGTGGTGGTGGCGGTGCGCGGTGGTGGTGCGCGTGCGTGCGTGCGTGCGTGCGTGGTGGGTGGAAGTGGCGGTGGGTGTGCGTGCGGCGGGGCGGGGCGTGGTGCGGCGCGGTGGTGGCGGGCGGATGGGCGCGCGAGAAAGAGGCCCGCGCTGGGGCGAGAACGCCACCCTGAACGACGGAGGCAAAACACCGATCCGAAAATGAGGCCCACGCTGCAGCGGGAGCACGATTCGGAACGATTCGGGAGCAAAAATGAAGCCCGCGCCTCAGCGAGAGCAGCATTTTGAAAAAAAACGCAGGCGAACACCCAACTCCCAGGAATCCTGTGTAAAAAACAGCACGCGGGGGGGTCTACTACTCCCAGCACGCCATCAGGGGAAGAGGGAGAGTAGTATTCATATTGAGTAAGTGTGAAGGGAGGAGGGAGGTAGACGGGAACGTCGCAAGAGAACGTACCCTTTGAAGAGGGAGGGGATGAGAGTGGAGGAAGGGGACGCCTGAAGGGAACGCAGCCTCTCGGCTCCCAGCTGGTCCGTCTCGCACAGACTGGAGCGGCTGACCCTCCTCCAACTCCTCGTCTTCGCTCTCCTCCCTCCCCCTTCCCCGTCCTCCTCCTCCCGGCGGCGCGCGGTCCCAGCGCACTTTGAATTGGTGCCGGCGCAACCCCCCAGTGCTTCGCACCGGCCCCCCAGGAGCAGCCGCCGCCTTACGCCCAGCACGAGGGCCCAGCGTCCAAACAGCGGCCGCCCCTGGCGGGGAAGGGTTGCGCCAGCCGGGGCCTATAGCCTTGGCATACCCGGGACCAGGACGTGCAGCCAGAGCGAGATGTAGCCGGCGTCGAGCGCAGGTCGCCCGCGTCCGGCGCCGCCCGCAGCGCAGCAGTGCCCGGCAGCAGCGCCGTCAGCCGCCCGCTCCGGCCTCCACCCCGCGCCACGCGCCGCCCTGTCCGGCGAGCGCGCGTCCCCGGCCTTCGGCCCCTGCGCGCAGCAGTCCGCGCGCAGCAGCGGCAGCAGTAGCAGCCGCCGTCAGCCCAGCGTCAGCAGCTGCCCGCCCCGCAGCCCCGCGCCGACGCCCAGCGCCGGCGCCGCCCCCTGCCCGGGCCCAGCAGTCCTCCCCGCTCAGCGCAGCCCGGCGGCGCGCCGAAGCTGGCGCGCCACCTGGCGCTGCAGCGCGCAGCTGAGCGCCTTGTAGGCGCGCGCCAGCTCGCCGGGCTGCGTGTCCTCGGGGAGCTCGCGCACCTGCGCCAGCAGCCACTGTCGCGCCTCAGCGCCCAAGCGGCCGGAGGTCTCCAGGGCGAAAGCCGTGAGCCGCTCGCCCGGGTACCTCTCGTGTTTCTCGCGCTCGGCCCTGCGCGTAGCCTCTCCCGGCCGTCGCGCCGCAGCCCGGAGCGCCGTCTCGTCGCCTGCCGCCGGGTGGCGGACCGTCACGTCCACCCACCAGGAGCCGTCCACCTCCGCGTACTGGAGGTCCAACACGGCGCGTTCCAGGACCGGCGGGCCGGGCCCTTCTGCTGGCCGCCGCGCGCGGTGCCTATCCCAAGCAGGGACTCGTTGTTCGTAGAGGGGCACGCAGTGGCGCCACCTCCCGGCCAAGCTCCCCAGCGTCTTCTCCAAGTCGCCGTGGCGCCTCACGACGCCCCCGCCAGACTGGCAAGTGCAGGCGTGGTAGCCGTCTTCGTCCAGCGGGGCCGCGCAGGTGGCGCCGCTCGCCGTCTGGTTGCAGCAGGTAGCAGAGGCCCGGGCCAGCTCCGCGAGCGAGCACTCCGGCCGCGGCAGCTGCAGGCGGCGGCGCAGAGAGGTGCTCCAGTCAACGTCCTCCAGGGCGCAGAGGGGCTCCGTCGGGTACTGCAAGAAGCCGCCTGCCCCAGGGCCGCCCGCAGACAGCAAGGTGGCCTTGCTGCGAAGATCCACTCGCTGCTTGACGGCAGCGTGAGTTGTCTTGTGGATAATCGCAACGACCGTCTTCTGTCGCGTCTCCTCCCGTAGTGCAGCAGCTAGCGGGTCCCGTCCTCCTCCTCCTCCTCCTCCTCCTCCTTCAACACACGCACAAAAAAAACACCTGGGGGAAGCCTTGAGAGGCGTGGGGAGGCCGGGTGGCCACCCAAGGGGCCTGCCGGAGGGGCCGCGGCGCTGCGGCGCACGGCGCCTGAGGGTGCTGGCGTCCGCGGCCGCGTCCTCGGCGTGCTGCCTGGGGCGGCCGCGCGCGGCTGCTACTGGGGGCGCCCCAGACCTCCTCGCGTGTTTTTGTTTGCTTGTTTTTCTTCCCCCGGCCGAAAGCCAGGGGGATGGGGGGGTTAAAGCGCCGAGCGCGGGTAAGGACGCCAGACGATTAGGGGCACACCCCGGAGGGGAGGAGGGGGGAGGAGGAAGAGAGGAGGAAGGCAGGAGGAGGAGGAGGGGGAGGAGGAGGAGGAGGAGGAGGAGGAGGAGGAGGAGGAGGGAGGAGGAGGAGGAGGAGGAGGAGGAGGAGGAGGGAGAGGAGGAGAAGCGAGAAGGAGGAGGAGGAGGAGGAGGAGGAGGAGGAGGAGGATGAGGAGGAGGAGGAGGAGGAGGACAAAACCACAGAGAATCCACGTGGGCATGCGTCGGGAATCCTCGCGTGGCGAAACAAATCACGACGTCGGGGGGGTCTTCGCCATTTTCGACCTCTGGTGGCCCTCGCCGCGCCCCAGGACCGTCAACAAACGCCTCAGGACGAGACGCCGGTCCCCGGGGGAGGGGCCCAAGCCTCAGGGGTTCGACGCCGTGACGGAAAACCACGGCGTCTTGGGTCGGGGGCAGGGGCACCACCGTTGGGGCGGCCACGGGGGGGGAGCCCTCGCTGGGCCCGCTGTCTCGGCTCCCCGCTCTCCGGTGCTTGCGTCGGGAGCTCCCGCAGGGTCCTGGTCGTTCGCCCATTGAAGACGCGATGAGGGCAACGGCAGGTCCACTGGCACCTTGCCTCGCCCTTTGGCGTGGTCCCGGTGCTGAAAACGAGGGAGGAGCAGGAGACGGAGGGGGACGAGGAGGAGGAGGAGGAGGAGGAGGAGGAGGAGGAGGAGGAGGAGGAGGAGGAGGAGGAGGAGGAGGGGAGGAGGAGGAGGAGACGGAGGGGGAGAAGGAGGAGGAGGAGCAGGAGCAGGAGGAGGAGGAGGAGGAGGAGGAGGAGGAGGAGGAAGAGAAAGAGGAGCAGGAGGAGGAGGAGGAGGAGGAGGAGGAGGAGGAAGAGGAGGAGGAGGAGGAGGAGGAGGGGGAGGAGGAGGAGGAGGAGGAGGAGGAGGAAGCAGGAGGAAGGAGGAACGGAGGAGGGAGGAGAAGAAGGAGGGAGGACGGATGACAAAACGGTCCGTCGGGCACGAAGGAGAGCGCCAAGGCCCTCCAAATCTTTCCCTCCTGGAGCTGTTCGAGGGGGGGGCCGCCCTCCTCTCGCTCTGCCTCCGCGGTGCAGCTTCGCCAAACAGCAACCCGTTTGGCGCCCTCGCGGAGCGAGCGCCCGCGCTGCGGCAAAACATGATCGAAGGGGGCGGGACGCGCGAAACCGACAACGTGCAGCGAACCAGAATCTCCGACTCGTGGTCAGCTGCTGCACTGTGGAGCCCCCTTCCCATCGGTTGCGGAGCCGGTGATCTCCAGTATGGCCTGGCGGGGTGAGCAAGCGCAGCTGGGGGCCAAGAGGCGAGTTCTCTTCAGGCGTCCCCCTTCCTCAACTCTCCTCCCCTCCCTCTCTCAATGCTACGTTCTCCTGCGACGTTCGCTTCCGCCTCCCTACTCCCTTCCCTCCTCCCCCTGATCCGCCTCCTGTGGAGGAGGGAGGGTAATGAGAGGAGGAGGAGGAGGAGGAGGAGGAGGAGGAGGAGGAGGAGGAGGAGGAGGAGGAGGAGGAGGAGGAACGAACGCCACAAGTACCGCCGTAGGTTGATTCAACGTAAAGCGGAGGAAGAGGAGGATGAGGATGAGGATGAGGTTCAGGATGAGGAGGAGGGGCAGGAGCAGGAGCAGGAGCAGGAGCAGGAGCAGGAGGAGGAGCAGAAAGAGAGGCAGGAGGAGGAGGAGGAGGAGGAGGAGGAGGAGGAGGAGGAGGAGGAGGAGGAGGAGGAGGAGGAGGATGACGGGGACGGGGAAGGACTTGGACCGAGATGGAAAAAGGTCCGCCGCTCCCGTCTGTGCGAGACAGACCAGCGGCCAGCGTCAGCGTCAGGGGGAGTACCCCGTCCTCCTGGTCTCCCCCCTTTTGTTTCCTGTTGCCTCCTCCCACCCTCTCCTGCCTCTTACCTTCTACCGCCTTCCCGCCCGCGTCCATTCGTCCCCCCGTCACCCCGCCCCCTCTATCATGTATATTACCATGATTTGTCCCATCCTTCCTGTGTTGGGTTTTCGCTTTGGACGAAACACTGTGGTTTCCACTCCTCTCATGTCACCTCCCCCTCCTCCTGCCTCCTCTTGCGCTGCTCCCTGGGTGGTTGCAAGCTGGGCAACGGTCGTCACTTTCGTGGGTTCCCGTGAAGTCCGGCGGAGTTCGGGACCACGAGCACGCAGACGGGGCCGCGCGGCTTCGTGGGTGGCTGTGGGCTCCTGGAAAGTCCAACGATGCCAGGGGCCACCCGCACCCAGACGTGACCTCTCTGCTCCCTGCACTTCTTCGTTGGCCCCGGGGGGGTAATGAGGTCAGGGGCCATGCGGTCCCATTTGGGACCTCGCCGCTCCCTGGGCGACTGCGAACTGCGCAACGGTTGCCGCTCTACTGGCTCCTGGGAGGTCCAGTGGGGCCGAAGGCCACGCGCACCCAGACGGGACCTCGCTGCTCCTTGGGTGGCGGTGGCTGCGAAATGCGCAGCGGTCGCCACTTTGTTGGGTTCTTGGGAGGTTCTGCAGGGCCGGGAACCGCGCGCACCTGTTTGGGACCGTGTTGCTCCCGGGGTGGCCGAGAACTGCGCAACTGTCGGTTTTTTTTCGTGGGCTCTTGGGAGGTCCAGCAGTGCCCGGGGCCACCCGCATCCAGACGGAACTTGTCTGCTCCCTGGGTGGCTGCGAGCTGTGCACATGTCATCACGTTTGCTTGCTCTTGTGAAGTCCAGCGGGACCGGGGGCCACGCGGACCCATTTGGCACCTCGTTGCTCCCTATAAGCTGCGCAACTGTCGCCACTTTTGCTGGCACCTGGGAAGTCCAACGGGGTCGGGGGCCACGCGGGCCCATTTGGGACCTTGCTGCTCCCTGGGTGCTGCGAACTGCGCAACTGTAGCTACTTCCGTTGGTTTCTCGAAGGTCCAGCGGGAACGGGGGCCACGCGCACCCTGACAGGACCTCGCTGCTCCCTGGGCGGATGCATTTTGCGAGCGTCACCACTTTCGTGGGCTCCTGTGAGGTCCAGCGAAATCGGGGGCCACGCGGACCCATTTGTCACCTCGCTGCTCCTTGGGTGGCTGACAACTGCGCAGCTGTCACCACTTTCGTTGGCTCCTGGGGAGGTCCAGCGGCCTCGCTGCTCCCTGGGTGGCTGCGAACCGTTCAGCTGTCACCACTGTCGCTGGCTCCTGGGAGGTCCAGCGGAATCGGGGGCCACGCGGCCACATTTGGAACCTCGCTGCTCTTTGGTTGGCTGACCACAGTCAACGCGTGTCGCTGTCGATCACAGAGCGCAGGGCGCGGGAGCGTCACGTCACGTCACACATGGCGCTGTCCTCAGCGGCCCACGCCCCACCTCTCCGTCCTCAGGCGCCCGTTTCCTGCAGCGGCGGCGCGGGCGAACCTACCAGATGTAGCGCATGGCGCTGCTACTCTCCGCAACGTGTCTCCCTCTGCCCTCGCTCTCCACTTTGCCCTCCTCCCCCTCCCCCTCCACCTCCTCCTCCTCCTCCTCCTCCTCCTCCTCCACCTTATTCTTCTCCTCCTCCTCCTCCTCCTCCACTTTTGCCCTCCCGTTCTATGTTGCGCAGTTGTGCGACGTGCGTGGCTACACTTCATCGCCTTCCCTAGTGTTGCATATATCGCAAAGTGCTCTTTTGCATGCAGCGTACACGTTAATCGCCTCGCGTGCAGAAAAAAGGGTCTGGGTACGTCTCGCGTGCTTCATCCCAACTCTCCGGTGTGGTCTCCTCTCGCCCCCTCCCCCTCCTTCTTCCTTCTCCCTTGCGCCTTCTCTTGGCTCCTGCTTTCCTTGCTCTTACCTTTCCCAGTGGGGGGCTGCGAACTGCGCAGCCGTCGGAAGTCCAGCAGGGCCTGGGGCTCTCGGCGGCTTCTCGGGGCCCGGCCGCGCGGGGGCTTTTCTGGGCGTCTTTGTAGGGGGCATCGCGGTGGCCTCTCGGGGGCTTCGCAGGGCTCGTCTTGCAGCTCTCTCGTTTCGGACGCGTCTTGAGCGAATTTCGCCCGTCTTGAGGCCTACTGGTATCAGAAGCGAACAACGGGAAGGCACAACTTATACATGTGCTGTGGGTCTTTAAACAGACGGTTGGCTGCTCAGGGCGCCCTGGAAAGCTTGTTCGAGACCTCTTGGGGGCATCTTGGGCCGTCCTGAGAACATCTTGGGCTGTCCTGGAGAGCTGGGGGGCGGTTTCGGAGCTGTCTCGGGCCGTCTGGGGAGCCCCTTTTCTTGAACCATTGTGATTACAGATTGTTCACTTGCTGGGCTACAGGAAGTCGGCGAGCCCATAGCTCGTCACCCGGGCAAATGCTGCTCACTGATAGCCGGTGTTCGTGATGTGGCCTCGCCACCAGCACGGCAGGAACCTGGAATGCCTGCACTCACCAAGCGGAGTAGCCTTTGCTTTTGCCCTTGCCCTTGCCTTTGCCACCGCCGCCTCCACCTGTCACCCTACAATTGACGCCCTTGTACTTGCCCTTGCGATCGTCCCACTCCTTGTCGAATGTCACTGCGTCTCCTCCTGAATCGATTCCGTCGAGCTCCGGGTTGTCCTTGACATGCACAAAGCAATCATCGCTTCCGTCATCAGGGGTCACGAAGCCGAAGCCCTTCTCGGCAAACATGCTCTTGAGGACACCTGATGTAGACATGGCGTCAGAAAGACAGCGAGCGCGATTGCTGGCACTGGCACTCGACTCTCCTTGGGCCAAAATGGCTTGAGCCCAAATGGCTACGGACCGTCTGGGGAGCCCCTTGGGGCTCTCTTGGCTCGCCTTGGCTTGTCTGAGTAGCGTTCTGGCTCTGTCTTGACCCGTCTGGGGGCGTCCCCGAGGTTCCGTTCCCCCCATGGAGTCTTGAGGTCCCTGGGCCACGGCCGCGGACCCTGTCGCCAGGTGTGTGTACATATGCTGTATATATATATATATATATATATATAATTCCGCACCTCCTTACCGAGCGAGGGCGAGAGAGAGAGAGAGAGAGAGAAAGAGAGAGAGAGAGAGAAACATAGAGACACCATCATACATATGAGAGGAAGAGTCACATATACATATATCAATATAGAAGGGGGATTGATGAGGAAGGAAAGAGGGCAGGGAGGAACGGAGAAAGAGAGAATCGGGACGAAAGAACACACGAGAAGAGAGAACAGTGGCACATGCGAGCGGGGAATGCTGGCAACGAGGAAGGAGGACAAATCCATTCATTGGGGCGCCACGGAGTACTCATAAGCGAAGAAACGCAGCCTACGACTGCTGGCAGCGTGCCACCATCTCAGCCCCCGAAGTGAAGGGCGGAGGGTTGGAGAAGGCAGTGGGGACGGGAGGGAAGCCAAGGCACGGAGAAGGGATCTGCCATCCCATCGGGCACCGGCCTCCCGCTTGCCGTCGCCAGGTCGGTGCTCTTGAAGAACCGCCCCAGCGCCGACACGAACGCCTCGACCTCCAATAGGTCGCATCGCGGAGCTCCCAAAAGGAAGGGGACGAGGAGGGAAGAGGGAAGCGAGGGGAGAGGATCTGGGACGAGACGGTGAGGAGGCGTTATTGATTGGCAGGCCTCCGAGGAGGCAGGTCTTGAGGGAGAAACAAGGTGAAACGCCAAGGCAAGGGCTGTTACTGGGGGATGTGATGGAAGAAGGGAGGGGCATGGGAGGACGAGGAGGCAAGGTCAACTGATCGGGGGAACCGTCGGAAGCAGCGCTGCTAGACGAGCGATCTTTGCCGGCAGTCTCATGACTTTGCGCACCTCGCGCTTGAACTGCCAGGCGAGCCTGGTCGACATCTCTCCCTCCAGCCTGCTGCTCCCAGCAGCCCCTCTGCCTGCTGCTCTGCCCTCGGCACCACCTGCCTGCCGCTCCCTTCCCCTTCGACACCTCTCCCAGCGGATCTTGTTTTTTGGTTTCTCTCCCTTTCTCTCTCTCTCTCTCTCTCTCTCTCTCTTCTCTCGGCGGTGGACAAACCTCCCTTTAGTAAACCTCCCTTTGGTGAAAACGGCCCAAGACCGAAACCGACGGACCTGGACCCGCAAACATGACGGCCGCGACGCCCTCTCGCGAACCGAAAACGGCCAGTTCGCTAATCGATGTCTGGGTGGGGGCTCTGTCCACCCCTGCCTCTCGCTCTTTCACTCTCTCTCTCTCTCTCCTTTCGAGGCCCCTGCCTGCTGCACCGCTCGGGAATCTCTGAGAGCTGGCAGGCCCGGAGGCCTCCTGCATGGGGCCGGAGGCTGGAGGCTGCACGGGTCGCCGCGGCGCGCGCTCCGCTCCGAAGCGCGCCCGGACGCCCTGGGGACGATCGTCGCCCTCTGCCTGCCGAGCCTGCCAAGCCCCGCCCTTCCGCGTCGCCAGGCGGGCCCCCCCTCCCCAGACCGCCTCGCGTGGAGAACAAAAAAAAAAACACCAGAGAAAAACCCCAATCGATGGACGGTTTGAACTGGGATCGATAACGAGATCGACCGGGAACCCGGGAACCCAGGAACCCGTATACCCCCGAAATCGGCCCGGAACCAATGACCAAAAACCCGGGAACCCGGAACCGGGAACCCAGGAATCCAGCCGGCCACCAAAATCGGCGGGACACTTTCGCCAAATCTTTCAATTTCCGCTAGGACCCCATCAGTGCAAGCACTGATTGGGGAATCACGACGGGAGGTGCTTCGCTGTTTTCGGCCTCCAAGGGCCCTTGCTGGGCCTGGGGACCGTCAAGGAACGACTCAGGATGAGGAAAACCCGGCCCCCGGGCCCAGACCCCCGACGTCGTGACTTTTTCAGAACGTCGACCCTCAGAGGTCTCGACACGTTCCCCTGGACACGTTTTCCATCCTGGGTTGTTTTTTGACTGTCCCGAGGGCCAGTAAGGGCCTCCAGATGTCCGTAACCTAGCCTCCCGTCGTGATTTCTCATTGCCCGGAAAGGGGTCTGGGGGAAGGGGTCCAGGTTCCTGGGGGTCCACCGCCACCACCACTGAGCCGAGCATCCAGCAGGACGCGTGGGCAGAAAAGTGCGCAAGTGGCAACCCTTTGAACAAATACAATAAGGACGACGGCGCGGAGACTCGACTGTGAAGCAAAAGCAACAAGCGTCGCAGGCACGAGCGCTTCACGACTGTGAAACGGAAGCCACAGCGCCAGATTGTGGAGCAGAAGTTGACCTGCTCGCAAGTCTGGAGCACAGGCAGGTGGGAGGAGGCGGGGAGGGAGGGAGAGAGGAAGCGGGGAGAGCAGCTCCTCGGGGGTCACGCCTTGAAAGAATCACGACGTCCGGGGTCTGCGTGCCCCCCCTCCCCTCGGGAGGGGCGGAGGGAGGGGAAGGAGGCGGAGGGGGACGGTCGGGACGGGCGAGAGGGATGGGTAGCCAAGGGGGGGGGTTCTCCTCTTCCTCCCCCCTCCCCTCGAGAGAGAGAGGAGGGATGGGAAAGGGCTGGACCTAAACGTTGTCTTTTGTTATGTTTTCGTTATGTTGTTCCTTTTGCTCTACCTGTTCTCATGTACCTCGCTGCCAGAGCGAAGAACAAAGCACAGCCGAAGATCAGCAAAACAGCGTTTAGGTCCAGCCCTGCTCCCTCCCCTCGAGAGAGAAGGGGAGGGATGGGAAAAGGGGGCCGAAGGGGGAGGGTCGGGACGGACGAACGGGTGTGGCGAGAAAAAGGTGGGCGTTCCGAATCGGACAAGCAGCAACGTCCCTTTCCGAACCTCACGGCGCGGGAGGCGCCCATGTGTAATGGGAAGCGTCCCCGCGGCGGATCCGAAACTAGCTGAATGCAGCAGATTTCGTGTCCCTCCCTTTCCCAATCCCCCCGTTCGTCCGACTCGAGTCAGGGAAGGACATGCTCAAACACATGGCGGCCCAGTCAGCCGCCGCAGATCTCGTCGCGCAGCCACTCACTAACACCAGCGACCCCGACAGCGTCAACGCCCTCGTGCCATGGGATCCCGCTGGAATCCAGTTCATGTTCAAGGAGATGGCCAAGTCTGGAACCCCTGGATCCAGACATGCTGACGCACCGCTGCTGCTTCCAACGAGCTTCCGCCAGCGGACCCTCCGCAGCCTTTCGCCGAAGGCGAGGATGGTCAGGGGCGGCCAAGAGGGGGGCGTCCAAGACGGGGGGGGCGTACATCATCGCCGGCGGCACGGGCGCGGCCCACGGGGGGGGCGCTGGGACGTCCGGAAATGAGAAGAGAGAGGCGCCATGAAATCTGGTGAGATATCATGGCCTCCGCCCTGATACAGTGAGCGGCTTGACTGAGGAACACTTCCTTTTCAAAAGGGGCTCGGTTGTTCCCAAGGTTTGCATGTGTTATCTATGGTTCTTTATGCGTTATTCATTAGTTGTCGTCCCTTATGCGTTATTCTTTGGACAAGAAAGGCTTCGTTCCTCATTTATCGTTCCTCAGGTCAAGCCGATGACTGTATCCCCGAGCAGCACCGAGGGCCAGGAGCCTTCCTGGGAGCGCGCCAGCACGAGAGGCCGGGGCAATGGGGGGGAGAGGGAAGGGGGGCACCGCGTCGAGGCACTGCACGCAAGACGGGCCCTTGTTTTGGAGCAGGAAGAGGAGGAGGAGGAGGAGGAGGAGGAGGAGGAGGAGGAGGAGGGAGGAGGAGGCGGAGGAGGAGGAGGAGGAGGAGGGAGGAGGAGGAAGGAGGGGGTGGAAGAGGAGGGGGAGAAGGAGGAGGAGAGGAGGAGGAGGAGAGGAGGAGGAGGAGGAGGAGGAGGAGGAGGAATGGAGGAGGGAGGAGGAGGAGGAGGAGGAGGAGGAGGAGGAGGAGGAGGAGGAGGAGGAGGAGGAGGAAGAGGAGGAGGAGGGGAGGAGGAGAGGAGGAGGAGGAGGTGGGGAGGAGGGGAGAAGGAGGGAGGGGGAGGAGGAGGAGGAGGAGGAGGAGGAAGAAGGAGGAGGACAGAGGAGGAGGAAGAGGGAGGAGGAGGACGAGGAAGAAGACGAGGTCAATCTGCGATCGGCTCAGGAGATGCGCTCCAGGATTTGGGGAGCACCTGGCCGCCCCCGTTTCTTCGAGGCCTCCTAGATGGGGTCGGAGCAGACGGTATCGGAGGATCGCGCCGCATCGGCGATGCATCGGCATGCATCTGCGATGCACTGGCGATGCGTCGCCGATACATCGGCGATGCATCGGCGACGTCGACGTGAAGCCAATCGGGCTGCACATCAAGCCGCATCGGCAATGCATCGGCGATGCGGCGCGATCCTCCGACCCCGTCTGCTCCGACCCAACCTGGGAGGCCTGGATTTCTTGAGCCCGTGTGGAACAATCGGGAATCTCGGAGATCTTGGAACGTATCATTCTCGTGACTCCTTGCAGCAAGGAGTCAAGAGAAGGAGGACTCGTGACTCCCTTGCTGGGGGGAGAACAGAAAAACTAGGCTTGCCAGAGCCCAGGGAGGGGTCGCGTTCGTCGGCCCAAGACCTCTGTGGAACGCTAAAGTGGGAAGACCTGGGCTACCAAGTGCATCTCCCCACTCCTTGCTCCTCTGAGTTTTTTTTTTGGGGGGGGGAGGGGGGGGGCCGGGGCGGGCCCAGACCCCCAGCGTCGTGGATTTAAAATTTTGCAACACGCCCAAAGGTCTGGACCCCTTCCCCGGGGACCGGGCTTCTCACCCTGGGTCGTATTCTGACGGTCCCGGGGCCCGGTGAAGGTCCCCGGAGGCCGAGCACCCATCGGTCGGAAGAAGTAAGTAGAAACATGAAACAGGAAGGCGCTGAAAGTAGATTGGGTGTCCGCCCGCCCCCTAAAGAGGACGGAAAAGGTGAAGCCACTCGATCATTGAAGTAGAAAGGCGCTTAAACTGGATTGGAATCTGGCCCCCCCCGAATACTTACTCTCAGCGACCGATGGATATAGGGACAAAAACTCACGTCGTGTTTTTTTCACCGCGCGAGGGCGCCTGGGGGTGGAGGCGGGGGGGCGGGGGCGGGGGCAGACCTCGGGCGCGCGAGCCGCTGCCAGCGCACCGCGCTCGGCCATCGAGGGGCCCCCCGGGGCAGGCCTGCACCAGAGGTGTGGCCGCCCGACGCGCTGCGCTCGCTGGGTGGCGGGCACCGGCCCCTGCAGCAAACACTTTTGACGTCGCAGCGCGGCAGGGGCCATCCGCGCGCGCGTCTGGGCGAGACGGGGAAGCGGCGACGCGAAGGAACCCGCATGCAAGAGGGGGGAGGACTGCGAGCGGGCGGCCGCGGAGGGAGGGGAGCCGATCGCGAGGGCACTCTCACGCAGCGGGGCTGCGGCGAGCGCTGCAGCCCCCTTTAGTAGGAAAGACCCTTTCAGTGAAAACGACACGGTGCCAGACCCGCGGGCGCAGAACCGCCATCATCGCGGCCCAACTTCTGCCTAGAGCCGAAGAAAAAACACTGCACTTCGCCAGTCGTCTTGGCAGCGTGGGAGTCCTGTCCGTCAGGTGGGTGTACCGCGCGGTCGATCACCGCACGGTTGTTGGACCAAGGATGCCCCAGCCGCCCGAGACGTCCTCGGAGAACGACCCGAAGCCCAAAACAATGCGGTCATCCCGAATCCCCACTGACTCACCCAGACATCCGGGGGCTTAATTTTCTCAATGCGCCCCCCCCCAAAATTCCGACCCTGTCCCCAGGACCAGATTTTCATCCCGAGTTGTTGTTTGACGGTCCCGAGGCCTGGCGAGGGCCCTCAGAGGCCGAAAACTGAGAAACGCCTCGGAGTCGGGTGTCTCGAGACGTTGAAACCTGGGCACCACACGGTGTGGTCACCGCACCGTTGGGTAGCCCACAGATAAACCTCCGATGCAGGTGTGCCCGTCCCCCCGTGGAGGAGGAGGGGGTGGAGGACGAGGAGAAGGAGTGGGAAGGAGGAGGAGGAGGAGGAGGAGGAGGAGGAGGAGGAGGAGGACCAGTGTAAACCCAATATTCATCAACAATGTTGGGATACCCCCCCCTCCAAGCTCCCTCTTTCTAGGCCCCATACAAGTATTCATTTCCACTAGTGACGTTCCCTGTTGGGGGATAACCATTTAAAGATCCTGAAGCGTGCCAAAACAACGCCACGAATCAACCTGACTGTTGCGTCTTGAAGATGCAGAATCGTGCCAGAACGGTATTCCTGCGATTTGAACACCGCTAATCAATGTAAGTGTTGCGCCCGACAATCCTGACTCATTCCAAACCAGCATTTCTGGTAGGATCGCCCTGGGAATCCGTAAATACCTTGCACATGTTTAAGACGAGACTGCGCGGCGCTGGGGCAAGAACAACATGTTGAAAAGAACACGCCGTCAATGCGTAAAACTCTTGGACATGCCACCCGTCCTCAATCCGTAAAACCCTTGCACGTTTTCAAAACGAACGTGCGCCCACATTCAGGAAACGATCCGTCCTCCATTTTTGAAGCTGTCGCCAACCTGTCAATTCCAAGATCTGAAACGGTAGAAAAGGAAGTCGCAAGCGACACGCCAGGTCCGCCCTTCCGACTGGCCTCGGGGTGAGACAGGGGGGGATTACTGAGAAGGAACAGGAATGGAGGAGGAGGAGGAGGAGGAGGAGGAGGAGGAGGAGGAGGGGGGAGGAGGAGGGGGGAGGAGGGACAAAGGAGAAGGAAGGAGGGAGGAGGGAGGAGGGAGGTTGTTGTTCAACGCGGGGCTTGGGGTTCACCGTGCTCCGTCCTTGAAGGCCTGAAACGGGCGGGGCGAATACCGCTTACGCCACCGTCCCGACCTTAAGAGAAAAAGGCAGGCACCCCCTCGTGAGAGAAAAAGGACCCTCGAAGGATGCCTGTGCCTCCTGAAGTCCAGGGGGCTCTTCTGGCGTGCTTGGCAGCACGTCGGGCCTCTCGGATGGCCCTGGCACGAGCACGGTTGGCCGCGATCCTGGCCAGCTGATCGAAGGAGAGGGGAAGAGGAGCAGGCGGAGGCGGCGGCAACGAAGGGGGAGGAGGGGGGGGGAATCAGCGGCCAGGTCGCGGCCTGCTCTTCTGGCGAACCGAGGAGAAGATCGGCCACCGACTGTTCCGCCTCAACTTCTTCGCAACCGTCAAAGAGCGGCGTAGACAGCACATCCGTGGCAGCACGATCCTGAACTGCAACCTCCTCAAGCTCAGGCTCAGAGTCAGTGTCAAAACCTGCACATTCGGGGCGCTGGGACAGTTTCCTCCGGAGCGAGGCGGTCCAGGGGCACAAAGGGATCATCCAACTCATTTCTGATCTCCTCGAGGTCGGACGGATGCCCCGCTAGATCTGCAACGTCCACGGGAGAGGGAGTCTCAACCGAGGGGAGGAAGGAAGTAACACTGTCAAGTACGGCCGTGGCCAGTGCTTTGCACGGGCCCGGTGGGTACGTCTTCTTGCCGGCCGTCAAAAACTAGCCGGCGTGATTTTTTCAGAGAAAAACCTTGTGGGCCTGGCGCCCATGAGAGCACCTTCCTTCACCAGGAGTGGCTTTCAGCAACGAGGGCATCGACGCCATTCTTAAAGACAGGATGGTGGTAGGTGCACGACCAACTGCGCTGGGCTCGACCTCGGGATTCTGAGGCTCACGCTGGTCAAACGTGGTGAGCGACGCACAAGGGGAAGCCGCCAGGGCCTATAGAGGCCTCCAGCCGAAAGAAGTCGGGGCGCGCGGGGCTCACGTTGGGGGCGCAGGGTGCTCTAACCAACCGCCTGTGCCCGCCCTCAGATGTTCCGCTAGAAGCCGTACTACTGAGTGTAGTAGCTGCGAGCCAATACGTAACTGCTCCGATTGCCCCTGAGAAACCCAAGGCATGCCCCATACATGTACTGTACTCCTGAGTGGGTGGGTGGGGGGCCCTCGTGCCATCGAGACGCTGACCACGTCTCGCATGGCCCCCCCTCACGTATTGATGACCCTGTGGCATCTGATGTGCTCGATCCATTCGAGCAGAGTGTCCTCGCGTGTGAGATCTCCTCTGACCGGGTCGATCGCTACGTCAATGCTTAACACAATGATCCCAACCGCGGGCTTCGCTATAGCATGTTCTACCTGCAACTGCACATCACCTGCTCGGCGTTGGCCGCAGGAAAGATTGAAAACGTAGAAGCTGGGCCTTCGAATCCTAATCGGCACCGACTGTGAGGCGAACGACACGTACTCACCTGGATTGTTCACGTAGAAGGGAACTTCACGTGTCGGGGCCTGAACAGGGGGCTCATCGGAGAAACAATTAACATACTCGTCGATATGGTCGTCGGGGATGGCAGGGTCGTTTTCTAGGAGAATATGGAGGGCTTCTCGATGAGAGAGAGGCCAAGCTAGATCGTCCACGAGTGGGTGCCGAACGATTCCTTGCTGTCTAGCTGCTGAAAGCTCCGTGCGCCATCGGCCTTGACCAGCCGCACGTTACGCTTGAAATCTAGCCTCTTCCTCGCACTGTAACTGCATGGCCTCGGCAACTGAACATTGCGGCTCCGCAATCATGAGGCCGATCGCCCACTTCAAATAATCAAAAGCAAGATGCGCAGTAAGAGCAGGACGATGAGCAAAACGTTGAGGGGGGAGGAGGGAGGAGAGAGGAGGGAGCAAGGAGGAGGGAGGAGGGAGAAGAGAGGAGGAGGGAGGAGGGAGTAAGGGAGGAGGAGGGGGGGGAGGAGAAGGAGGCGGAGGCGGAGGAGGAGGAGGAGGAGGAGGAGAAGGTGGAGTAGAAGGAAAAGGAAGAGGAGGAGGATGAAGAGGGAGGAGGGAGGAGGGAGGAGGGAGGAGGGAGGAGGACGGACGAGGAGGAGGAGGAGGAGGAGAAGAGGAGGGAGGAGGAGGAGGAGGCGGAGGAGGAGGGGGAGGAGGAGGAGGAGGAGGAGGAGGAGGAGGAGGAGGAGGAGAAGGAGGAGCGGGAGGAGGAGGAGGAGGAGGAGGAGGAGGAGGAGGAGGAGGAGGAGGAGGAGGAGGAGGAGCAGATGGGGAGGAGAAGGAGGATGTAGGAGGATGTAGGAGGAGCAGGGGGAGGAGAAGGACGGGGAGGAGAGCCCCCCCCCCTTCCCTGCTCCGCCCCCGCGCCGGCCGGGCCGGCCACCCCATCGGCGGGGCAACGCCTCCCCGAGGTGGTGCATGACGGTGCGCACAAGCCGCTCCGCCGCCTCAGGCGCGGCGGCCTGCCAGGGGGCCGAGTTCCGCAGTGAGGGAGCCGCGGCTGTCTGCACCGACGACGACGACGACGTTGACGACGACGAGGACGACGAGGACGACGAGGACGACGACGAGGACGACGACGAGGACGACGACGAGGACGACGACGAGGACGACGAGGACGACGAGGACGACGAGGACGACGACGAGGACGACGACGAGGACGACGACGAGGACGACGACGAGGACGACGAGGATGACGAGGACGACGAGGACGACGAGGACGACGAGGACGACGAGGACGACGAGGACGAGGACGAGGACGAGGACGACGACGACGACGACGACGACGACGACGGCGGCGGCGGCGGCGACGGCGGTGGCGGCGGCCCCCTCCCTGCCCAGACCCCCCCGAGTCATGAGCAACATCACGACGAACATTTTTTCGCTACTTTCGGCCTCTGGGGGCCCGGACTGGGCCTTGGGACCGTCCAAAGACTCAGGATGAAAATCGGGTCCCCGGGAAGTGGTCGAGACCTCTGGGGGTCGACGTTATGAAAGAATCATGACGTCGGGGGTCTGGGTCTGCAGCCCTCTCTTGGCGGCGCGCACGACGGGGTGGAGGGAGGGGGGAATGTTTCTTAGGAGGCCGCTTCTTAGAAGGCGGGGGCCTTCTCTATAGATGTGGGGCTGGCGGCTTCTAAGAGGCAAGGGTGCTTCCAAGAAGCCAAGCCCATCCCCCTCTGCGCATGGCTGACTCCCCCCCTCCCTGCCCAGACACGCTCTTGTCGTAGCAAAAGTACGGCGGGACGTTTTTGACGATTGTCGGCCTCCGAGGGCCTGGCTCCAGGACCGTCAAACAACCACTTGCGATGGAAATCTGCCCTGGAACAACGCATTGAAACATCCAAGACATCGCATGCCTGGGTCCTACCCCTCCGCATGCCGCCCTCCCTCCCCGCTCCCCTACCTGTTCCTCCTGCTTCCTCTCCTTCCCCCTCCTCTACCTACCCTGAGATCCTGGCGTGGCACAGTTTCTTTTTGGACGGGCAAATTTGCTTCTTTTCGGGCTCTAGTAGCTCGCCGTCACCCTCCCTTCGACCACATTCTGCTCCTCCTTCTATTCTCCTCCTCCTCCTCCTCCTCCTCCTCCTCCTCCTCTTCCCTCCTCCTTCTCCTCCTCCCTCCTCCTCTCCTCCTCCCTCCTCCCTCCTCCCTCCTCCTCCTCCCTCCTCCCCTCCTCTTCCTTCTTCCCTCCCTCCTCCTCCTCCTCCTCCTCGTCCGTCGTCGTCCTCGTCCTCGGCTCGTCTCTCGTCCTCGTCCTCCTCCTCCCTCCTCCTCCTCCTCCTCCTCCTCCTCCTCCTCCTCCCCCTCCTCCCCCTCCAACCGCCGCCTCTGCCCGAGCCCTGTGCAAGCTGTACCAGCACCGAACCGCGGGCAGCGGAGGGGGGCGCACAGCTCAGCCATGGGAGCTGAGCCCCGTGACCGAGGATGCTACGAATGATCGGATGGAGCCCACTATCGACCACGGGAATGAGGCTTGAAGAGATTCTCACAGTATGTGTGGCGCTAGATGCGATACTCTTAGCAGGGACCCAATCAGGCAGTCGACGAGCGCAGGCCCCTCTCCAACGACGACTGGCTGGACGGTTAGTCGTGGAAGCAGAGTACAGCCCTAGGCAGCTGACGAACAAAAGCACGGGATGTGTCATCGCGCTGGGGAAAGGATTCCAGCAGTCCCATATTCGCCAGATCTGGGGCAGCCCCGATTCAGCATGGGGCCGCGCGCTCGGCACGAGAGTCAAGCGCCAGCACTTAGACTTCTGTTTCATCGTGATGTACTTCCCCCCACAGCCGAAGGGCAGGAACGACGTGGGCCACTACCTCACCACCGTGCGCACGCTGGCTGTGTGGCTTGATAAGTTACTGGATTCTCTTCCGCAGAAGTGTTGCTCTATATTGTACACAAGCGCGAATGCCGGAGTCGGACTTTGCAAACACACCACAGCATGGCAACCCTGTGAGGAGAACGTGGTTGAGCAAACGGCTCGAGAAGCACGAAGAGGTGGAGCAGGTGAAGCACTACGACGAGTGGCAGCGACACATCACCTGTTCGCAAACATCACAAGAGGTCGTCGGGAACACACATTTCTCAGCGAGAGAGGCAGCAGCCTCATTGATTACATATTTGCGCCATGGGGATATGCTGACCAGATTACAAGATGCCACACCCTTCGTCGATTGCGAGCTCGACTCCAAGCATACAGAGGCAACCCCCGCTCGATCACCTGCCCCTCTTCATCGAGCTGAACATCTCCAAGGACCCCGAGATCGCTCGACCTGTCAGGGACCCGCACCTTGACAAAGACAAGCTTCTGGATGCATTGAAAAGAGAAGGGGACGGCAAAACACGCTTTCCCAACCAGATAGAGCAGACACTGGAAAATGAACTGCAGATGTGGATACCATTACTGGACAATGGCACGCCTGACGCATGTTTTGCTTACCTCGACCAAATTTTGATGAAGGCAGGCCTGGACTGTTTCCTTGAACACGCCGACCCAAGACGGCAGGAACATAACCACATGCGCCGTGAGCTCCTTCGACAGCGAGCTGAACCGAGGGAATCGAGGAGCGATAATGACGCCGACCTGACGGACATCAATGAGCAGCTGAAGGCCCTCTCTTAGACTCTCAAGTTGCATCGACGGCAAGAGGCTCAGGCGCGTAGGAACCATATCCAGGAGGAGATTGAGGAAGCATGGGAACATCGCAAACCATCATTGGCAATGAGACTTTCATGTCAGGCAGCTAGATGCCGTTTTGGACAACAAAAGAGACCTCAGGCTTGGTCGCACGTGAAGAGTGGCTCCAGGTTTGGATACTTCCAGGAGGCCAGAAAGGTATGTCAGTACGTGAAGTTCCTCCTCCTGTACCCCCTGTCGCTGTTTTTCCTGGTCCGCTCCATCCGCCCACCCCCGATGTCATTAACATGGCCCAGGAGGATTACGAGAGAGTCCAGAAGGCGATCCAGAAGGCCACCAGAAGAAGGGGAGTCCCACAAGATACCCCGCCCGTCGAGCTCTGCCAGATGCGCATGCACCCGAAGAAGAAGAAGCTTGTTCGGCAGCGTCTGGGTTTGAACGCTTCGGGGAACATTCCTGATATACAGTTTTTCCCAACCATCCTGTGGTGTTGGGTCCTCGTTTTGAAGAGACGGTGCCCCGCGTTCCCGCCTCCTTCCTCCCTCCCTCCTCCAACCCCTCCCCCTCCCACACCCATTCTGGCACACCCCTCACACGTTTCGTGGCCCCATAGGGAGCTCCACCGAAGGCCCCAGTGGCTGCGCCCGCATGCGGTTCCACCCCGCATTCTGGCACACCCCTCACACGTTTCGTGGCCCCATAGGGAGCTCCACCGAAGGCCCCAGTGGCTGCGCCCGCATGCGGTTCCACCCCCCATTCTGGCACACCCCTCACACGTTTCGTGGCCCCATAGGGAGCTCCACCGAAGGCCCCAGTGGCTGCGCCCGCATGCGGTTCCACCCCCCATTCTGGCACACCCCTCACACGTTTCGTGGCCCCATAGGGAGCTCCACCGAAGGCCCCAGTGGCTGCGCCCGCATGCGGTTCCACCCCCCATTCTGGCACACCCCTCACACGTTTCGTGGCCCCATAGGGAGCTCCACCGAAGGCCCCAGTGGCTGCGCCCGCATGCGGTTCAACCCCCCATTCTGGCACACCCCTCACACGTTTCGTGGCCCCATAGGGAGCTCCACCGAAGGCCCCAATGGCTGCGCCCGCATGCGGTTCCAACCCCCATTCTGGCACACCCCTCACACGTTTCGTGGCCCCATAGGGAGCTCCACCGAAGGCCCCAGTGGCTGCGCCCGCATGCGGTTCCACCCCCCATTCTGGCACACCCCTCACACGTTTCGTGGCCCCATAGGGAGCTCCACCGAAGGCCCCAGTGGCTGCGCCCGCATGCGGTTCCACCCCCCATTCTGGCACACCCCTCACACGTTTCGTGGCCCCATAGGGAGCTCCACCGAAGGCCCCAGTGGCTGCGCCCGCATGCGGTTCCACCCCCCATTCTGGCACACCCCTCACACGTTTCGTGGCCCCATAGGGAGCTCCACCGAAGGCCCCAGTGGCTGCGCCCGCATGGTTCCACCCCCATTCTGGCACACCCCTCACACGTTTCGTGGCCCCATAGGGAGCTCCACCGAAGGCCCCAGTGGCTGCGCCCGCATGCGGTTCCACCCCCCAATCTGGCACACCCCTCACACGTTTCGTGGCCCCATAGGGAGCTCCACCGAAGGCCCCAGTGGCTGCGCCCGCATGCGGTTCCACCCCCCATTCTGGCACACCCCTCACACGTTTCGTGGCCCCATAGGGAGCTCCACCGAAGGCCCCAGTGGCTGCGCCGCATGCGGTTCCACCCCCCATTCTGGCACACCCCTCACACGCTTCGTGGCTCCATGGGGAGCTCCACCGAACGCCCCGGTGGCTGCGCTCGCATGTGGTTCCCCCCCCATTTCGGCACACCCCTCACACGGTTCGTGGCCCCATAGGGAGCTCCACCGAAGGCCCCAGTGGCTGCGCTCGCATGCGGTTCCACCCCCTTTTTCGGCACGCCCTTCACACGTCTCGTGGCCCCATAGGGAGCTCCACCGAACGCCGCAATGGCTGCGCTCGCATGCGGTTCCACCCCCCATTTCGGCACACCCCTCACACGCTTCGTGGCTCCATAGGGAGCTCCACCGAAGGCCCCAATGGCTGCGCTGGCATGCGGTTCCACACCCCATTTTGGCACACCCCTCGCACGTTTCGTGGCCCCATAAGGGGGCTCCACCAAAGGTCCCAGTGGCACTGCCCGCTTGCGTCCGCCACCACCCAGCACAGCCCTTGTTCCCTGCGCTTCACCCACCCAGAACAGCGCTTCGTAGCCCTATAGGGAGCTCCACCAAAGGTCCCAGCGGCACCGCCCGCACGCGTCCGCCACCACCCTGCACAGCCCTTGCTCC